CTTTTCTTCCATTTGGGAACTATCTGAACTATGGGGCATCTGTATCTCAGGGAATGGTTGTTTCGGCAGAAAAGCGAAGTCTCCGAGATCTCAAAAGCTTGGGCTTTGGGGTTTTAAATGTCCAAACGGACTCCAAATTTAGAAAAAAAGTAAAAGTAAAGAGGTAGAAAAATGTCTTCCTAACCTCTCAGGGTGCATAACAAATCCCTAGGCTGTAGGGAGGGAGAAAGGAGAAGATAGGAAGGAGGAATGTGTGGATATTGTTAAGTCCCTGAGAAAACATGAGCCAATATCCTGCCCCTATAGTTTAGCCAGAAAGAAGGGCAGCAAATCCTCTTTGGCACAGTAAAGTAGCTTGCATTGAAACAACTATGCTACAAAATCTCAAAAACAACTCTCTGAAGGCAGTGGAAAACAACTACAAATGGGCAGAAACTAGATGGGAGGTGACACTTGAAAAATGGAAACATCAGTGGGTTGGAGGCTCATTTTTTTATGGCTTTTCACCAGAGGGCAGGCACCCCACAGGGCAGCCAAAACTTGGACAGAAACCCACAGCTATCCCAGCTGAGCAGACAGACCTCAGACTGACCCCAGCAGCCAAATAGATGGGCCTGAGGAAGCCTCTGGGTTCCCTGGACCCTGACATACTGTGGAAAGAAAAGATGCCTGCTAACGACCCCCCCCCATGGGGGGAGGGGAAGCTCAGAAGAGAAAAGGGGCTGCAAATAGTCCTCCAAGGATTCCTGTAGTCATTGGAGGCACCAATGCTTTTCATGTCTTGCAAGGACAGAGAACGGGACCTTGTGGCAGACCTTGGACAGAAGATGTGAGGACAAAACAGCAGATGTGAAGATGTCCCTACAGATGCCATCCTAGAAGGTGATGACACGGATCCACGTGCTAAATCCTGTTCATGCCTTGGCTTGATTTAAGTCCCATCCAGAACTTATGTGTAACTCTTATGACATTGACCTCCGGGGAGCTGGGATCAATCCTGCCATTGACTAGGAATTTCTATCACCTCTTTTATCCTCTGAAAGGAACATAAGGCATGTTTTCTTCCTAGGGCCTCTGAGCATCTACTATGCTAGTAGGAGGTAAATGAGTGTATTTGAGATGACGGGGAGATGAGAAAGTTGAATGTGGACACTTATAATTAGCAGACAGATGTAAGGGCCTCTTCCCACCCTCCCCGTGCTATATGGATAGAAATTACCTACCGTCATTTCCCCTTTAACTGTTAGCAGGCGGTTCAGGGTTTCAAGTGTGAGAACAGCTTCTCAGCTATCTCAAGTAGTAAGATATCTGCTGACCACTCTTACCTCCCCAACCCCTTACAGCCAAATACCACTTTGTCTAAAGGGACTTCCTTCTAAGAGGTTTCATTAACTGAGATATAACTGCATTGCCCAACATGGCAGCCATTGATTCCTCCCCTATTTCTCCAACCACATGGAGGCTCTGATCTAGTCACTTCCCTATTTCTCGGAATGAGCAATAGAAATATAAAATAGCATGAGGAAGAAATGAATGAATGAATGAACGAATACCTTTCATACCAGCAGCTAACGCTAATCTAATGGATCAATAATGTTTCTGGCACACCTGCTCTTTCCCTCCCCCTGGCCCATTCTGTCCTACCCATCCCTTTCTAAGTTGCATTTAGAGAGTCTGAAGATCAATAGCTGCAGGCCTACTTTCCTCCCTCCCATGGTCAGTGGTCTTTCTACCCAGGTGAAATGGGCATTTTGGAATAGAAGTCTCCATCAGTCACCCCAGAGGCCTTTTTTCTCAGCTCTGGAGTTTCTGGCCTCAAATACTGAGAGTCAGGTTGACAGCCGTGGCAGTCAGGGGAAAGAGCATGAGAGGCTTTTCAATAGGCCTAAAACCCTGGTTTTGGCACCCAGCCTCCACTGAGAAACAGCTGGATGGCAGTAGGCCAGGCTCAAACATCTGCCTTCATCTGCTGGCTTTAGTAGCAAGCATCTCCGCTAATGCTATCATTAGAGAATTATCAATATTTTACAAGTGTTACCACTTCTTGAAAATACAGCTAATTAAGTCACATAGGGCAGGACCTTGGTGGTCAAGACATAACGAGGAAAGGCCTTCTGCTCATCTCTCTTTTCCTCTCAAGGCAATTATACTGATTATCTTACAGAGAGAAACCATGATTCCAAAAGCTATCTCTCCGCTATGTTTTCTCGAACCCCAGTGAGAGCCTGTAAGTAAGCTTAAATTTAAATAATGGAGAGTATGCCAGCCAGAGTTCTTATTGTATACTAGAGAGATGGGGTCTGGTCACATTAAGGCATAAAAAAAAGTACAAAAAGACTTTTGGGTAGTTCCCAAAATAGATGGGAGGAAGCAGGCTTGTGAAGTGTGGCCATTCTCCTCCCAAAAGATCAAAAGGTAGAGTCTTCTTCAATTCCCTCTTCTTCATGTGGGCAGTTTGTGACACGCTTGTAACCAGTAGAATGTGGCATAAGTAAAGCTGTGTGTCTTCTGTGGCTAGTAGGTAATATAGTTTCCACCTAGATAGTTGGAATTTGTTTATGAAACATTTAGCTACCAGACAAGTAGTTCCACTGCCTTGAGGCCACCATGTTTTGAGGAAGCCCAAACTCACCACTGCAGAGCCCACAGGAGACTACGTGGAGAAAGAGGGAACTGCCCAGCCAGCCTCCAGCTGCTCCAGCCCTCACTGACTTACACTGCACAGGAGACCCAAGCCAGAGCCACCCCTCCTGGCCGTCCCCAAATCCTGAGCTAAAAAATTATGAAAAATAGTAAAATGATTGTTGTTGCTTTAAACCAGTATGTTTGGGGATTACTGATTACACAACAATAGCCAAGCAGAACAATCAGCCAGGAACAAAGGAATGTAAAACAAGGAGCGGAAATGGTTTCTTCAAACAGGACCCTTTCATCAGCTTCTCCCCCTCTACCTCATTCAGACTTCATACTGCTGGGTCTGGTTCTATAGATACGAGAAAATGAGCAGCGAATGTAAAACCCGAATTATCAGAGGGACATACAGATTGTTTTCTGAAGGGCAAAGTTAATAATCTGAAGCAAAAATCAGGCAAGGCACAATGGCTTATGCCTGCAATCCTAGCACTGTGGGAGGTTGAGGCAGGAGGACTACTTGAGCCCAGGAGTTCAGGGCTGCAGTGAGCTATGATGGGGCCACTGCACTCTATCTAGGTGACAGAGCAAAACCTTGTCTCAGGAAGGAAGGAAGGTAGGAAGGAAAGAAAGAAAAGGAAAAGGAAGCAAAAAAAATCCTTGGACGCATTCTCCCCATCTTTCCCCTCCTGTCTTCCTTAATTTGTTCCCACTATAAAACAAAACTGAACCAAAGAAAGCAGGTGCTGTTTTGTCTAGGTAGGTACCTATTTGTGACTGTATCTTTTTTTTTAAGGGGAGGCATTTTTTTTTTTTTTTGAGACAGAGCCTCAAGCTGTCCCCCTGGGTAGAGTGCCGTGGCATCACAGCTCACAGCAACCTCCAACTCCTGGGCTCAAGCGAGTCTTCTGCCTCCGCCTCCCAAGTAGCTGGGACCACAGGCGCCCGCCACAACGCCCAGCTATTTTTTGGTTGCAGCCGTCATTGTTGTTTTGGTGGGTCCGGGCTGGGAATTCGAACCCGCCACCTTAGGTGTACGTGGCTGGCGCCTTAGCCGATTGAGCTATAGGCGCCGAGCCAGGGGAGGCATTTTTTATGTTCACTTTTATATTTTAAAAATGTTGATAGAACTATGCAAGAAAAATACCTCTTAGCTCTTTAAAACACAAACACATGCACACACACCACACTTTGTGAGACATATATATTAAAACCCATCAACCTTCAGATCATTTAGAGAAAGAGTTTTCTGGCCCACAAGAGGACAATGATAAGAGTGTTCCCACTACTTGTTGAGAACCACTAGCTTACCTCAGCTTTGAATTCCTATTTTTGGCTCTCTTTATGACACCTAGAAGAAACCTTCATTAGCATTTTTACTTAAATGAAACCAAGGCACAATTAGCAGCTGCTTCAGGATTTTCAAATCCTGACATCTGGGAATTTCCTGGAAAATGTTATGAATATTACAAGTAAAATGTGTTCAGGGGAGAAACTACAGCTCCCAGACTCAGCTGCCTGACCACACGGCAAGTAGAGTGCCCTCTATTCCTGATATGTAGGCCCCCTGTGTACCAGTGGAATGACAATGGTAACCCACAAGAGCCTCCGTTGTCTCATTTTTAGATAGTAGAAATCTGGAAAGCCACAGCTTCCCCACATGTGTTTGTCAGTACTATCAACAGATGCTGCCAAGATTCTACTTTTTTGAGCTGCCAAATGGGACCAGGGAGATAGGTTGAAACACACATTTAATAAAGGCTGAGGATTGGTGTCTGAGGTCATGTTTCCACTTTCATCACTAAACAACCAAGTCACTCCCAAATGTATTGACTTAAAACAACAATAGCCATTTTTAACAATCTCTCACCATTTCTGTGCATCAGATTCAGGAAGGGCTCAGCTGGGTGGTTTTGACTCAGGTCTCTCATGTGGCTATAGTTGGATAGTGGTTGGAGTTAGGACACTGAGAATCTGGGGCTGGCCAGCCTCTTTCTGTGTAACTCAGGGCCTCTTCAAGTGTTTTCTCAGCATGAGCTCATTAAAGCATCACATAGAGGTCAAAAGTTCCATAGCAAGTATTCCCATGAGCAAGGCAGAAGCAGAATCTCCACTCACTGCCTTTTAGAATCTATCCTTGGAGTCACAGAGAGTCACTTTCACCACACTTTGTCACAAGCCCACTCAGATTCAAGGAAAGAGGACACAGACTCCTCTGCTCCCATGGGAGGAGTCAAATGTAAGAAGAGCACCTGAGATGTGGCTGCTGTCTTTGGAAATTACAACTTGCCACAGGTCAAGGTCCCTAGATGTTGAAATAGTTATACTTGTATGAGTCATTTATTAAGGAATAGGAAAAGGGAGAAGCTAAGCAAGGATGTGGTTTCACAGATAAGCATGTCATCTTTGTGCTGGGGCCAGGCTAATCTTTGTATCATTCTGATTTTAGGGTATGTGCTGCTGAAGCAACACCAAGGATGTGGTTTCAAGTGAAGTCTAGCCTCAGCCTGGTTCTGCAGGGAGCTCTGGAGAATATGTTTCCTGCCGCTTATGTTTCTCCTTGAGCAAGAAGTAGAGCATTGTGCACCCATATCAGTCAGAGCCTCAGCTACCATAGGATATAGGGGTGTATTCGAGGACTAAGTTTTATAGGGACTAGCAGGTAAAGACCTTACTTTCAAGGTAAATTCAAGAAGTCAGTCCTTAAGATGGGAGATGTTAAAGGGTTGACCAGAAGGTACATGCTTGGCACATCGGCACATCCATGATGTTTGATTCAAACAAAATTTGGGGACCCAGTCAGAAGATACCTGGGGCTCAGGGCTTATGGAAAAATGAAATGAATAGTTAATGAAATGAGAAAGTTGATCAGTGCTTTTTATGGACTCTATTCTCAGGAGGCTTTTCTTTTTTTTTTTTTTTTGGAGACCAGGTTTTACTTTGTTGCTCCAGCTGGAGGCTAGAGCATAAAGGCATGAATAGAGCTTGCTGCAACCTCCAAATCCAAGGCTCAGGTGATCCTCCTGGCTTAGCCTCTAAAGTAAGTGGAACTACAGCCACATGCCACCATGCTTAGCTAATTTTTTTTATTTTTTGCAGAACCAGAGTCTCACTGCTATTCAGGCTAGTCTCAAACTCCTGGCCTTGGATCCCATAGCCTTGGCCTCTAAAAGTGCTAAAATTACAGGCATGAGCCACAGTACCTGGCCTGGCTTCTTCCTTTTTGGTGACAAGATGGCTGCCAGTAATTATAGTCCCATATCCTTTCCTCTCAGCAAACCCTGTAACAAAAGGGCTTTCCTTTCCCAATCAAGCTCATGAAAGTCCTATCACTGGTACATTGCAAAGTCTCAAAGCTACAGATGCTAGTGTGGATGTAGAGAGAAAGGAACACTTTTACACTGTTAGTGGGATTGCAAACTAATATAGCCTCTTTGGAGGGCAGTGCCTCTGACTCAGTGGGTAGGGCGCTGGCCCCATATACCGAGGGTGGCTGGTTCAAACCCAGCCATGGCCAAACTGCAACAGAAAAATAGCTGGGCATTGTGGCAGGTGCCTGTGGTCCCGGTTACTCGGAGGCTGAGGCAAGAGAATTGCCTAAGCCCAGGAGCTGGAGGTTGCTGTGAGCTGTGATGCTATAGCACTCTACTGAGGGCAATAAAGTGAGACTCTCTCTCTAAAAAAAAAAAATTACAGCCTCTTTGGAAAGAATTCTGGAGAATCATCAAAGAGGTAAAAGTAGACCTTCCATTTGATCCTGCAATCCCGTTATTAGGTATCTACCCAGAAGAAAATAAATCATTTTACCATAAGGACATATGCACTAGAATGTTTATTGCAGCTCAATTCACAATCTCCAAGATGTGGAATCAATCCAAGTGCCCATCAACATATGAATGGCTTAGTAAACTATGGTATATGTATACCATGGAATACTACTCAGCCATAAAAAGATGGTGACTTTACAGCTTTTGCATTAACCTGGATAGAGTTGAAGAACATTCTCCTTAGTAAAGTATCACACGAATAGAAAATCAAGTATTCAATGTACTTAATACCAATATGAAACCAATGGACGAACAACTACACACCCACATGAAAGAAAAACACAATTAAATTCAGGTAAGGAAGAGAAGGAAACAGGGAGGAAGGAGGAGGATTGGTAAGCTCTTACCTAACAGGCACAATGTAAGGGTATATAGCACACCCTCTGGGTGAAAGACAACTACAACTTGGACTTGGCCTGGCAAACTCAAACAATGTAACCTGATCATTTGTCCCCTCATATTAATCTGAAAAATCATTTAAAAAGTTCCACCATTGAGTATCAGTGATTCTGATTAGTCTGACTTTGTCCATGGCCATCTCTGAAAATCATCACAGTGGCCAAGGTGATGTGATGCTTAATTGGCGAGGCCTGGGTCACATGAGCGCCTTTGGGGTCAAAGATGAAGTTAATTCCACTAGAATGCAAGGACTGAGAGTAAAGAAAAGGCAATGAATGTCACAGGAGAATCAGGGTTACCACAAGTGAGATAAGGGAAAATACCTTGAACAAAGAAATGTAAAAACCATGTGAATCACTGGTGAACTAGAGCAACAAGGTTAAAAGGATCATGGTAAGTGACTCCGTTCAGAGCCAGAAATCCCTGAGCCTAGGTTGCATCCAATTCCTATGCCCAAGGGCAATCTTGATTCCAGAACTTTGAGCAAGAGTCATGACTATGAAGATAATCATTCAGGAGAGGCAGGGTGGCTCTGGCATTGCGGAGGATTTGAAAGCAGGCCAAAAAATCATTACAATTTTGTTTTCCAGCTAGACTAGAGGTCTTTGCTGACCATGCAGGCCTCTTGAAAACTCTACCTGTAGATTTTGTTTGATCAAACTTACATAAATATTTAGAGGTTTGAAAAATAAGATCTATGAAGAAGGTCAAAGAAATTGGTGCTAATTAACCAGAAAAAAACAAACTGAAGCGCACACACACACACCCAACAGAGATGGAAAAGTATTTTAATTAAGTCATCTTCCCTATTAAAAAAAAGATGGTAACTAGCCATTCTTGTGCTCTACTGAGGATGAAATAAAAAGCAAATGGGCTTAATTGAAACATTGGGGAATTAAACATGAGAAGGAATTCTTTGTTCAATATTGGCCTAAATTTTAAGCTCTATTTAATTGTAAGCTTCCTCTGGGTAAAAGAATTGTGTCTTCTTCATCTTCCCCAAAGTTTGAAATGATGGAGAACTGAAAACTCTGAAAGTAAAACAGAGAGAGACAGAGACTTATGCCAACTTCTATAACTTTTGAGATTTTTGTTTCTAGTTACAAATGAATTTGATTTGTCCATTGTATCAGTTAGGAATATTTTGACTACAAGTACAAAATAACCTGATTTTAGTGCTTTAAACAAATGGGGGGTCTTTTTATACAAATATCTTAATTGCTGGCCCTGGTTTGTAGCTCATGATGCTATTGGCCTTTCCTTCATGGTTGCAAAATGGCTGTTGAAACTCCATGTATCACGACCATCTTCCGTGAGAAAGAAGATGGAAGAGGGAAGAGACAACATGCATATCAAGAAAAGATGTGTTTGCCCAAGAACCACAGAATGAACATCCATTTATGTCTCATTGGTCAGAATTATATAGGTTGGTCACCTCCAGTTGAAAGGTTGCTTTGAGCAAGGGGTTGGGAATGGGAGTTAGAGTAACCCATTCCACAGTGCTGCATTATTTTTGAAAATATATACCTATGAACAAGGTGTGGAGAAGTAAATACTTGCCGTAGTTAATGGTGTCATTCTTAGGATTTGAGCAGACCACTTGTTTCTCTCAATCTCAGCTTTCCTAACTAATTAACCATTCACAATTAGCTCTGATTTTTGCTTTGGGGAGTGCTTCTACCCAATCTTAATCACAAGATTTGGGGACTCCATTGATCCTAGGAGAGAGATGTTCTGGCCACAGGTGTGGGCACATTACCTAGGCCCAGTCATTCCTAATATTTCAATCAGTTGTTCCAGTGATTAGTCTACAGGTGGTCAGGTGGCTTCAGCTGGGTCAATCATCATTCTTCCCCAGGATTTTTCAACTAACCTTAGAGAAAAAGAGGTCTGACCATTTTTGGTGATAGAGTTGAAAACAGGGGCTGTTGGCACACATCTTTCCTGCCATGTGGGGAAGGCAGATCTTTACAAGGAGAAAATGAGGTCACAACCAGAGATATACAGCATTTACAGAGCATATGAGAACAATGAACTACAATTTTGTTCAAGTTCTCTGAATCCAACTGTGAGTGGACTTGCACTTATATGAGCCATAAATTCCTCATTCTTTCTCAAACTGGTTAGATTTCCATCCACTGCACATAAGAGCCTTAATTAATTAAGAGATTGGACAAATACCCAATAATGCAAATGCTATTGTTTGGAATTAAGAAAAAAGTTTGTCAAGGGTAAACCAGGGAAATACTTCATGTATGTATGTGTACAAAGCTAATAAGATTTTGTAAGCACTTAGAAATATCAGACTATGAGGACACTGCTGTCAATTACATTTCTGTAATCGTTTTCTGTCAGTTTTAGAGATCATGTAAGGGTAGCTAAGAGGAGCTACATATGCTGGCTGCCCCTCTGCTGTCAGCACTCTGTGCACGGAAAATGCTGCCATGGGGCTACTTGCAGAACCTGGTAACGCAGGGATGGCCCAGAATAGAAACCAGGTATCTGTGTTATGCTGTTTAATTGCTACATGGGCTGGTACAAGTCACATGGCCTCTCTAGTCTTCAGTTTCTTCACCTGTTTAATCAAAGGCATGAACTAAAAGCCTTCTGAGGTCCTTTTCACATCTACTGTTCTATGTCAATACGATCAATAACACCAACTCCCTGATTTTACCCATAAGGTCCAGGGGCTTCCCATGTCACCCAGCCAGACACAGTATGGAACCTAGCCTTGGACTGTCAGCCTATCTTCTGGGGCAGACTTGCTTGTGAATGATAGGAGCAGAACAGAGTTCTGTTAGGTTGTTAGGACTTACTTTCTTTGATTACGGAATACACTATCTTACTCCATTTTTTCCAAGCTTGAAGAATGAGCCCAGTTCCCAAACCCAGTCCCCATGTAGGCCACTTAACTTCCCTTTCTTCATGGTCAGGAGCTCCCCCACTGACTGGCCACTGTCTCACCAATGCATGCCATTGGCACAGAAGGGGCAGAGAAGAGAGTGCAAGTGTGTCCTGGGGGCCTGTCAGGGTTGTAATGGGGAAAAAAGCCATTTGGTGTCCATGTGCCTCTGTGGATCTCTGATTGTATCAGAGGATAAAAGATCATCGTCATTTGGGAGGTGTCCAGTCACCAGTTAGACACCATGGAGATGTCCTGCCACCTCCTTGCCCCATAGTGCAGTGAGCAGTCCACTGAACCTGTGCTATGTCCCTCCCCAGTCATGTCTGGGGAAGAGTCATAGATGCTCCTGGGTAGGTTGGGGGGAGCACTTACTGCCCAAATATGTTTGAATATTCTTCATTCAACCTATTTGATGATGCAGACAGAAATCTTAATACCCTTAATTCCTGTGTATCTCCAGGCAGACTGAGGTCTAGAAGGAAGATTTTTTACTATGAGAATCAGTCACTTGCTCTGGGCAATTCTACCAATTTGAGGAGGAAATCCCTTGTGAAAGGCCTGCTTTGGCTGATGAATGCATCCTGGAGAAATGCTGAGCTAGATGATCCCACTAGATCAGAGTTATCCAAACATTTTTGATCATGACCCTGAGTAAGAAACACATTTCATCCCATGACCTCATGCAAACACATCTCTATGTACAAATCTGAAACAAAGCAATCAGGAGTAAAACTGACTCTGCTGTGTGTGGAGTTCCCTGACAGTTGCACTCTGTTCTGTTCTCTTGTGTTTGATTCTGTTTCCATATATATTTTTTTTAATAGGAAGAAGGCTTTCATTTAGCCTGCAGAGCAAGCAGCACAGAGGAATTCAAAATGGTCACTCTCCCCAACTGGCTGCGTCTTTCCCTTTTTATCTTCAGTCAAAAAGTTCCAATCCAGGGTACCTTTCTCACTGGCCAGTTTGAATCAAGCTGGAGAAGCTGCTCCAGCCTCCTCAGAACTACTGGATTTCACAGAAGTGGAAATTTCCAGGTCCCAGGAAGTCTATAAATTAAAAAAAAATACGGAATGCTTCACAAATTTGTGTGTCATCCTTGCACAGGGGCCATGCTAATTTTTTCTATCGTTCCAATTTTAATATATGTGCTGCCAAAGTGAGCACTCCACTTGTTTTTTTAAATGGTGATGCGACTCACTGAGTTGACCTGGTAATGAGTCACAACCCACAGTTTGGAAAACGTTGCTTCTCAGGCTGCTGAGTCCTTAGACTTTGCTTCTTCTGTGCAAGATGCTGTGGGTGCTGTTCACCTGTCCTGGCGAATGACAGGAAAGACCCACAGGTGGCACATTCCCTTTCAGGAAGTTAAACCACAGAGGCAAGAAACTGAAGGGATGAAAATACAAAGTCAGCTGCCTAGAAGGTGCCACTAGGCAAGCAGGATGTAACTTTGGACCAAGTCAGTGCTGACTCATTCATTCATTCATTCCCTCTATGTGAGTTAGATCCTCTGAGGAGGACATGCCAAGATGGGACTAAACTTTCAAGGATTTTATTAAGGGAAATAAATGCTAAAGAAAATGGGGAGGGAGCTAGGCAAGGTTTGGAGAATGGTCAGATGGTAATGCAAGTCTGACTAGTGAAGGAGAGACAGAAGGAAGATGGCTGTTTAGTCTGAACAAGGAGTCTCATATCCCCAGGAACAGGACTGCTTCAGTGTTCCTGCTATGATCATCATCGATTGAGAGCAACCAGGGTGGAGCTGGACCTCGCAGCCTACAGCAGGGCCCTTAACCACCTGTGCTTCTGGGCATGAAGGGCTGCTGGGCATGTGCTCTGGCTGCCACACCCTCCTCTTCCTCTCCTTCCTTCTCCTCCCCTCTACTTATCCTTCCCACAATGGAAATTACGCAGGTCTCCATCCTAGGCTGGCTATTGTAGCTAAGACAGGAGACAGCAGTGAGCCAAACCTAGTCCCTGCCTCCCCAAGTCTGTTAGGGACATGGATATGAAGGAAAAATTCCACCAGAGAGTGCAGGGTGATCAGTGCAGGAAATGTTTCCAAGTGGAGGGCCTCGGGTTAGTAAGAATTTAAAAGAGGGGGTTAAGTCAGAAGAGGTGTTCCTGAGCCACCAAAGTGGATCTGAGATCTGGAGGATGAGTAGAAGTTAACTGGGTGAAGAGGAAAGGGAAGAGTACTCCTGCAGAGGGCTCAGCATGAGCCTGGGCTGCATGGTTTCTGGGAGGTGGCAGGAATCAGAGCCAAAACTCAGCCAGGGTAGGTTGAGAGAAGCCCAGGGAAGGGACGCTGGAAGAAAGTGGGGGAGCGAGCAGATCACATGGGACCTAGAAGCCTTCCTATCACCCCTGAAGGTTTTGAGGCATCAACATGATCGGACTGGCATTTGAGAAGGCTTCCCTACCTGTGGTGTGGAGGCTGGGTTGGGGAACAGGGGAAAAGTAGGGGAATTGAGGGGAGACAGGAGGGAAGTAGGGGAACTGATTGATTGAGGGCCAGACATGGGCAGTTAGTGTAGAGACAGAACTACGCCCCGACAGGTGCCCTTGTCTCATACATAAAACTGCTGTGCTCTGTCCTCTAGGCATCCTGCCAGTCAGCATCTCTGCTCCCCTCTTGGTGCTCCATTACTTCACTTTCACTGTGCAGTCTTCTGAGTAAGCCTACAGGGAAGCTGTAGGATATGTGACAGGGGTCACATATCCCTGAATACTTGGAATAATTCTAGATTTATGTAATCTCAGAGCAGTCCTTCAAAAGCATGGTGGGCAGCTCTGTTTTGTGGCTTCTCCATGTGCCACCAGAATAAACCTACCTTTTCACCCATGTTGTCTGCAGCTTAGAAATACTATCAGATTCTTAACAAGACTCTACAGATTCTACATTTACGGGGTTGAATTATTTTGTTTCTCATTTATTTTTTATTTTTTTTTGGAGACAGAGCCTCAAGCAGTCCCCCTGGGTAGAGTGCCGTGGCATTACAGCTCACAGCAACCTCCAACTCCTGGGCTCAAGCGAGTCTCCTGCCTC